AAAAATTAGTCGGGCATCGTGGGCAGGTGCTTGCAACCCCAGCTACTCAGGAGGCTGAGGCAGAAGAATCCCTTGAATCTGGGAGGTGGAGGCTGCAGTGAGCAGAGATTGCACCACTGCACTCCAGCCTGGACAACAAGAGCGAAACTCTGTCTCAAAATAATGATAATAAATAAATAAATTCGTTTCATAATCTACCTAATACAATGAGTCCTGTTGTTTGAAAAACACTCTTCTTTTAGAAGCTGGAAGAGACCGCCACTCTAAAGACCTCGAGCAACTAAATTCAGCCCAGGTCACCTTTGCAAGAGTGGGCTTTATACTGTGTCTCTGAGAACTCAAGGGTGATCACTCAGGTGTGTTTATTGGAGGATGGAGCCTTAAATAAGATCACCTACATACCTGCTCTCCAGTCTTCCCATTCCTGTGTCAAGACTCAGGTTTTCAGCTCAGCAACCCATCAGTATTACATGGGTTCTAGCCCCGCACCCCTGCAAACCCACCACACACACTTCTTCCCAGGCTGAACAGCTCTCCCAACATTAAAAAAAAAAAATTATTAAAGTGGCTGCTTCAGGAAAAAGTTAGACAAGTCAGCTCTGGTTAAAGCAAAAGCCATTTTGAAAAACAACATGAACTCTACTGATACGTACCCCATTCTACAGAAAAGCATGCTTAAAGTAGTTCATTCCAATTTTTTGTTCTTCACAGACCAGAAAATTTTCTAGTCCAAGTAGAAAATCCCTTTAAGAAATTAATTTCCTCAGGTTCTAGAAGATACATATTCATTCCAATATAACATGGTTTTGAAATTAAGGCAACGCTCATTTTTTTTAAAACAGCTGTTCCACAAGAGGCTCAATAATTCAGATTTGATTTTGAAGCTACAGAGTTGGCTTTATCAGATCAACAATGTGTCTACCCAACAGAAACAAGACTAAATCCAAGGTCCATATACAGTAATGAGGCTGACGAAAAACAGAGCAATCATATAAAAGAAATTCCTCTCTCAAGACTGTTATATACCCTGAGAAGCCAACTTTTTTCATTCTAAACTGGAAACTCTTAATAGCTGCTTTCTTTTCAGAATCTGAGCACTCAACAATTCAGTGTTTTATATTTGCATATGACAATTTTTCTGGAAGGTCACAATCTAGCTTCTGTATTACAAATTCAAAATGCCCTTCTAGTCCTCTACCTTCCAAGATATTATTTTTAAAATAGTAAAGGAATAAAAAAATTCATAAACCTACAATATCAAAGAGTACATAGAGAAGGGCCATCAGAAGAGACTTCAACAAATTTCCAGAACAGAGAAAGGAAAGACACGGTGGTAAATGCTGATATCTTCTTCTAGAATAAAAGCTCCACAAAGGCAGGGACACTGTCTGTCTTGTACACTGTTGTGTTTTTGGTACCCAGCACAGGGCCTAGCACACTAAAGATTACACACACACACACACACACACACACACACACACGAACTGAGCCAATTTTCTTATGAGCAGGTAAGCATGGAGCTGGTGTCCATACATGGACACCAGGAGACCTGAAAGGACCCTACACCACAAAGCAGGATCTTGCCCACTGGCCCTGAAGCCTAGCCTCGCTGTCCACAAGGCCCAGCCATGCACAGAGCTTCCACTTAACACACCTACTACTTCACTCTCACACTTACAGAGATAACCACACCTACACCAAGAGTGAGAAAGAACAAGACAGGGAACAGAAAACTCTCCCTAGAGCAAACGGAGACAATTGCGGGGGTGGGGGGGGAACCTTTAAAAGAAAACTCTGGAAAAGGGACAATTACAGAAAAAGAACACAGCCTTGCAAATTAAACTTACTTTTGTCCCCCAAATCAAAAAAGTTAACAAAGGATAAAATATAAAGTTGGGGCATTCCTGAAGAACAAAGAGACTTGAAAATATGACCATCCCACAGAAAAATATTCATAGGAAAAATTCAGAAGTTCCAGGAATAAAGATGATCCTAAAACCTCCATGAGGGTTAAGGAGAGTGATTTTTTTTTTTTCCTTTTTTTTTTTTTTGAGACGGAGTTTCGCTCATTACCCAG